TTATGAAGAAGAAAAAAGTAACAGAAAAATGAATATTAAATGATGATTAGCAAAGATTATGAAGATGGAAAAAGTAACAGAAAATGAATATTAAATGATGATTAGCAAAGATTATGAAGAAGAAAAAAGTAACAGAAAAATGAATATTAAATGATGATTAGCAAAAGATTATGAAGATGGAAAAAAAGTAACAGAAAATGAATATTAAATGATGATTAGCAAAAAGATTATGAAGAAGAAAAAAGTAACAGAAAAAATGAATATTAAATGATGATTAGCAAAGATTATGAAGATGGAAAAAGTAACAGAAAATGAATATTAAATGAAGATTAGCAAACCTTATGAAGAAGAAAAAAGTAACAGAAAAATGAATATTAAATGATGATTAGTAAAGATTATAAAGATGGAAAAAGTAATAGAAATGTAATAGAAAAAATATCTGGAAAATGCACATTTTTTCAATTTAGTATTTACAGTAATTTTTAAGTTCAGGCATTTAAATTCTATGCATAATAATTTTCTAATTTTATCAATTTTAATTTTTTTGAAGTCTTTATAACCATACTTCCATCATCTCTATATAATCCAGTGTGAATTATATTAATTTCGCGTTGTGCTGTGAGATTGTACAATATAAAAAAAACGTATACGGTCAGAAGAGTCTGCAGATTCATTGATTCAATATAAAAATGTATTGGCAGTAATTTTACTATAAAAATGTATTTTCATACCCCCGTAGTGTCTTTATTGGGGGAGGACTTCGACGTGGTGTAATGGTTGTCTCACTACAACCACTGAAAAGTGAGTTCGATCCTCACTGGTTGCCCTATAATTCCAACTTCGTGACACATCTAAACTGTGAAATCACCATATTTTTTTATTTGGGGGTTCACTATTTTCGCATAGCTGGGAGCTTAACAGGTACTACCACCCCGGGTTAGGGTGACCCTTGGAACAACAATAATTAAAAAGAGGCCCCACGCTCCTCAAAACTTCCAATCACCCGATCAGTTTTCTTTACTGCAAGCTGTAGTTTATCATCATACCCAGGACTGCGGAAAAGAAAAATGTTTCTAAATGAGTTACGTGAAGAATCATATAGGTTATATTTAGCCTGCCGAATTCAGAGCTAGTTTTCCTGGTTTTGTGCAAGACAGAACTTCTGGTGGAATATTGGCGACACGACTCCACCTCCTACATTGGGTGGCCGTTTTCAAGCAGTTAAAAAAAAATCAAAAGTGCCGAGCGGGTGGAGAACAACCTTCTAACTTTTTTTAAAGAAATACTAGTCAAAAACTATATTAACTTATTCTGCAAAAGAAGAAATTGTATTTTTTCGTAAATTCTTTTTTGACTTGTCAGCTGTAGATAACATGATTTATTCGCGTTACTTACCACTGAACGCCACAAATTGTCCTTTTGGTGGAATGCAATAGGTTCGACCATTCCATCTTGCTGTCTCACTATCAGTATGATCGAAATAACTGTGAACAGTAAGGAATAAGTCACCATACAGTCTAGTTATTTCAACACCATCAATTTGTGTCCCCTATTTATCAAGCAATCTCCGACGCTGGCGAATCAGCATCCCTAGAGGCCGCTGTCACGCGAGTCGTTCGAAAGCTTGATAAAACGAATCGTGATGTCTGCCCTGTGCCAAAATGCTATACCACAGAAAATTGTGGCCATGGTGTAGCATGAGTCGACTGGTGGTCGGGAGGTGGTGACATACGGATTTGGCGTTTGTTTAATTGTTGAAAGAAGCATATTTATAAAGAAGAAGAAAATTTATATGCCTCTAGGGGGGGGGTGATGATTCTTTTTATTCTTTTTATGTTTTTACTAAATGTTTGCCTAATACAACGCTCGAGAACCACTCAATGTTGAGTTGGTTAATTTTTTTACAGGCATATTAATGTCTATGAATTATTGAATATAGAAATCTAAATATTTTGAACGCAATTGTATGCTTTCATCTACAGATAAAATGTATTTTCGGTAATTTTACTATAAATAATTATTGCTGGTAATTTTACAAAAAATAGGTATTGTTGGTTGGTTGATTTTTTTTAGTGATATATCTCTATGAATTATTTAATGCCGAAATCTAAATATATTCTATGTAATTTTATGCTTTCAACAACAGATATTTTGTAAGAAATTTATGCTTTCCACAACAGATATTTTTTACGTAATTTATGCTTTCCACGACAGATATTTTGTACGTAATTTTATGCTTTCGACTACAAATATTTTGTACGTAATTTTATGCCTTTCACCACAGATATTTTGTACGTAATTTTATGCTTTCCAGAACATATATTTTGTACGTAATTTTATGCTTTCAACTGCATATATTTTGTACGTAATTTTATGCTTTTAGCTGCAGATATTTTATACGTAATTTTACACTTTCAGAGCAAAAGTGTGTTTTTTTAGTTGTCCTCTTTGTAGATTCTACAAACTATTGTTGGTAATTTTACTATAAAAATGTGTTTTCATATTTTTTATTGTTGCAGTCCCTGCCATATTGCTGTAAAAATGTATAATTGAAAATGTACTGTTACTGTAAGGTACTTATCTTTGCTTGGGGATTCACAATTTACCCCTAGTTAGGACTTAAATGCCACTCCGGTTCAGGGTTCGCCTGAATAGTTAAGACGTGGCTCGACGCCCATCAAAACCTGCGATCTCATTGCCGCCAGATGTAGTTTATCGTCATACCCAGGATGACTCAGAACTGAGATTTACTAAATGAAAAGGATGTATGAACGTATCAACGTAATGAAGTAAGAAGTGTAGATTTTGAAGGTATGTAAGATAAGAAACGGTTGATCCTAGAATTGAATAAGTTCAGATCATATTGATTGGAGAAAAGTTTCAGGATACTTGTATCAAAATGAAGCAAATATTCATAAAAAATGGTTAAAAATTTTAATATTTTAAAATAATTTTAAAATTTCACTTTCTTCAAATTATTGCCTGGGTTTGTTTTCCTAAAGGAATACCTTTGTAGTGTTTTAACTAATAAATTATTAATGATATTTGGTT